CTCCTGTGCTTTTCGCGGTAATTGTGCCCTGGGGCTGACTTGCCCCTTGATCAAATGCCATGCCTTGGCCAACACCGCGGCAAAACGTCTACGCATGCGCCAGGTTGAGCATTTCCGGTCTCTTTTTTAGTCACACTTTCCAGTCAAAGTCTCCTGCGCGCTTCATTCTGTGTGCAGCTTGTGGTTCAGTTGTTCTGCTTTATGCTGCTCGTGTTTTTGACTATTTTGTAGTTATTGAAATTGCTTTTATGGATAACCAGGCACAGATCACTGAAACAATTAGTCGATTAGATTCAGAAAAGGTAAGATGATAATAACTCAGAGTGTAATTTTGGCTAGAGCGTCAGGTCAGGTAAACGTTATCATTGCAAGCTTGTGTATTGTAGTTCTCATTTTCAGTTCTTCAGTTTCTCAGTCTACATGTGTTAAAGCCGATTCAAACTTTATTTGGAAAACGACAACTCACAATCGCTTTGTAATTTTGTTTACCAGTGGGTTTTACCGTGTTTTCTAACGAAACTCTTCTGGGTTGATTGCCATGAAACATAAGCTTAATTATACTGTTGAGCCGGTTGGCAGCAAGTTGACAACTCTATTTATTTATTTTTCCATTCTCAGAATCAGAGAGCGAAAGCTGGTTCAGTGGCTTTTAGAAGTCGAACTTTTCATGACATGTATTTAGCAGCTAGAAGTTTCGTGTTTGCATGAGATGCAGCCGAGCCGCACAGTCTGAAATTATTGAAGTCTTCAACAAAAGGACAACCATGTAAAACAATTAAATAGGTATTTTCTTGAATGAAAGTCATTTATAGGCATGTTTAGTTTCCCGGTGACTGCAGTCATCAAAGTCAAAGTTGTTATTAAATCCCGCCTATCTTTTGTTTTGAGTTCTTCTTTTCTCTGATAATAAAACAAATTATTGAACGGACTAAACTTTTATTTCCTGGTTTTAGTGTTTTTTTATGATAATGATGACGTCTTTATTTTGGTTTCTTTCATAAGTATTGTTATTCTTTTCTTAGTTGTCGCCTTCTCCCAAATTAAGTTATGCCAAACCAGTAGCATGCAAGAAAGCCAGTAAAAACAAATTCGTCTTGTCGAGCGCTCGCGACCTGCAAACTTCAAACATCATTTTCACCGTTGGTGCAAACAGATAACCATGTGGTGCAAAAGTTTGAGAATAGAAAAATATATAAGCTTTCGAATGAAGTGATTTTTTTGGCCCCCTTTTTTGTCTGTTTCGCCCTTTTTGCTTTTAAACTTGGCGCGACGGCAAAGTTATGCTTTCGCTATTGGATTATATACTATACCGGAAATAAAAAGCTGACCGGATATTAAATTTTGTGCTCATGCGCATTGCGTTTTGCCGCGGTGTTGCCTTGGCCACCCCTTCGCTTCGTTCGGCAGCGTGTTTTGTACTTCCAGCTCCGGCAAAGTTTCTTATCAGTTTTATCAGACGAAATGAGGAAAATTACTAGTTTTTTCAAGCCAAACAAAGGTGAGTAGTTGTTTTGAGTTGATAAAAGTTTTATATTTTGTCTTTCTCCTTTCGAATCAATGAAATATTCGATGGCAAAAACATGAAACAGCAGCGATTCAGCAACTTGACAGTACTTAATTGTCATAAGAAATTAACGGAAAGCTTGGACGTGATTCAGATCGCAAACACATTTGCTGGACGGAATGAAAATCGTATGAAGAATTTCGGTATCTTCACTAATGCCGACCTATAAAGAGCAACAAATACTGGATAAAGTATATGCAAAGTCACGCGACAGAAACAAATCAAATACTATGATTTTATTCCTTTTTTCGATTTTCAATATGAAAAAAATATTTTCAATTGTCAGCCCTCCCACTTTTCACCTTGCTCCGCGGTCCCTGATATATATCATTGGCAAAGGGAAAAAGGGAATTTTATAAATATAGGTTTGGAGGGAAAATGAAGCATATCTTACTTAAAAGTGGCAAGTATTTGAATAACTGAGGATTTTGCCGTGGCAGCGGCCGGTACTGTCACGCAACGCAAATTGAACATTTGACTAAATTTGAGTTGAAACCTTCAACTCTGAATCGCGATGTGCCACAGGTTTTATTGCATAACGTGACAAAATAGCTATTAATCTTTAACTAAAACATGTTTTTAGGTCTGACTTAGCTGCCACTTTGGAGAATTTTCTGATGATTTTGAGGCATTTATTCGTGCATTTTGCTTTCTTAATTGGATTTAAAGACGACCAGTTTTTGCTGATTACCGAAAGATAATGCCTAAATGTTATTGGAACAGTAAGAAGAAGCGATATGCTTCCAAATGAGTGCAAATGGTCTAGGATTTGATGACCTGAAGTACTTTTAAACGATCGTTAAAACACCCGAAAAAAGAGACTAAAATTTGCATATTTTAGCCGCCAACGGTCGTCCAGCAATGAAATCAGCGGCACTCAACAAGAATATGGTTCAAAACCACTTAAACATTGCATTGTTAAACGTATTTTAGTGTTTAAACGGTAGATATAAGCATATTTTTATCCCCTAAATTTTTTTTATCTGTTCGGATTTCCTAGCTGAACGTCTAGTCATTCGAAAATTATAGGGATCAAAACTTACCTTTTCGAAAATTTCAGCCAGAAAAAAGGCTTGCGAAAATTCTAGGTGACTTTTTTTAGGGTAAAAATCCGTTAAAAATGGGCAATTATACCATTCTTTTGATGTTCGAAAATCCTAGGAGAGACAGGCAACCAAGGAATTTTACAACAAATGTTCCGAAAATTCTAGATCTCAAATCGTCTTCCGAACAGATATTTTCCGAAAATTGACGTTGGGTGTCCCTGTGAAATGCTGGGAATGGCAGTAAAATAAACAATTTCCTCGTTCTAACTGCAATTACGTTATTAGGAGGGATAGTAGTATTGATGGCAAAAATTTTGTCGAGTCCGAAATCGAGTGGAACGCTTTTAAGGAGACTGCCTCTTAAAGATTGTTATAACGTAATTTGTCCTATCCCCTTCCCTTTTCCCGGCCTTTCGTCGTCTCTAGTCTCCCGTACCCCTCTATGGTGGCCGATAACTGCCATTCGTCAAAAGCACATAAATTTGTTAATTTTAGATCGAACTTTAATTATTTTGTATTGGAAATAAAGTGAAAGTACAAAGTAAAAACATTTTGTTTTTTATTGAACTGGAAATAGATTCTTTATTATTATTATTTTCAAAACAAAACAAAATATTTTTACTATGAAATGAAAATAAAAATAAAAGTGAATAAAAGCAAAAGTAAAAATAATTTGTTCACGGCCGCGAACTGCCATTCAAAACAAAAAAAAGCAAAATTAATTTGTTCACGGCTGGGAACTGCCATTCAAATAAAAAAAAGTAAAATAAATATGCTCATGACCGGGAACTGCCATTCAAAAAGAAAGAAATGAGACTTTTGGCGGGAGTGCGTCGCTCGCGTTTGTTTACAATCTCGTACCCAGACTCCCCGGATTCTTTGATAATTTGGCGCCCTTTCGCAAAACGCTGTGGCTCTATGGCCGGTAACCGGTCAAGGTTTTCAAAATACTAAATGGCCGGCAGTTCTATATTCTCAGTAAATTTCACAAAATGGAAAGATTCCAGCTAATCTAAACTATCATATGTCGATTTAGAAAAGTCAAGCGATCCTGAAATGCTTTACAGATCTTTGGTCTAGTGTTTAGTTTGCGCTGGGCTCAGAGGAGGAAATCATGTTTTGTGACACTTAGAAATTTTTTCAGCTCGACTGCCGGTCAAGGTTTTCAAAATACTAAATGGCCGGGAGTTCTATATTCTTAGTAAATTTCACAAAATCGAAAGATTCCAGCTAATGTAAACTATCATACGTCGATTTAGAAAAGTCAAGCGATCCTGAAATGCTTTATAGATCTCAAGTCTAGTGTTTGGTTTACGCTGAACCATGTTTTGTGACACTTTTCAGCCCGACTGCCGGTCAAGGTTTTCAAAACACTAAATGGCCGGCAGTTCTATACTCTTAGTAAATTTCACAAAATCGAAAAATACCAGCTAATCTAAACTATAACATGTCGTGATCCTGATCAAACCAGCCGGTTTTGTGGGATTTCTATATCATATTTTTGTTGGTCGCGAGTCTTTGGATGTTCGTTACTGTTTTCTGTCCAAAGCGTGGCGTGACAGGCGACGTTTGACGTCATGCCATCTTGACCTTTCATGCGGCCTTTGCGGAAAACCGGCGGGAATCTTTCGATTTTGTGAAATTTACTGAGAATATAGAACTGCCGGCCATTTAGTGTTTTGAAAACCTTGACCGGCAGTCGAGCTGAAAAAATTTCTAAGTGTCACAAGACATGATTTCCTCTTCTGAGCCCAGCGCAAACCAAACACTTTACTTGAGATCTGTAAAGCATTTCAGGATCGCTTGACTTTTCTAAATCGACATATGATAGTTTAGATTAGCTGGAATTTTTCGATTTTGTGAAACTTACTGAGAATAACGGACTGCCGGCCATTTAGTGTTTTGAAAAACCTTGACCGGCAGTCGAGCTGAAAAGTGTCACAAAACATGGTTCAGCGTAAACCAAACATTAGACTGGAGATCTGTAAAGCATTTCAGGATCGCTTGACTTTTCTAAATCGACGTATGATAGTTTACATTAGCTGGAATCTTTCGATTTTGTGAAATTTACTAAGAATATAGAACTGCCGGCCATTTAGTGTTTTGAAAACCTTGACCGGCAGTCGAGCTGAAAAAATTTCTAAGTGTCACAAGTCATGATTTCCTCCTCTGAGCCCAGCGCAAACCAAACACTAGACCAAAGATCTGTAAAGCATTTCAGGATCGCTTGACTTTTCTAAATCGACATATGATAGTTTAGATTAGCTGGAATCTTTCCATTTTGTGAAATTTACTGAGAATATAGAACTGCCGGCCATTTAGTATTTTGAAAACCTTGACCGGTTACCGGCCATATAGCCACAGCGTTCGCAAAAATCATTAGACTCAATATGGGGGATCGAGCTTGGGCAAAGTTTCAAGCCCAAATGAAGCAGAAACGAGTGCAGAAAAAGACAAAAGCCGATACAGGATTGGGTGGTGGAGTAATACTTCAACGTGAGGAACTTACAGTACAGCGACTCAGTTCCGAAGTCTCTGGTAAGGCGCAAAAGTTTAGCAGGATTGGAGTCAGGGAATTTGTGCCATTTGCTGACTACGAGGACATAACATTACCAAACATCAAACTTGCTTGTGAGAAGCACTTCTTACCAACAGTTGGCAAAAGCGTCACGTGTGATGTTCTGGCGGGAGAGCAAGGGCCATCCTGTTCAACGCTTGAACAAATTCCTGACCTAAAACTGATCCACATTCGGTTCATTCAGCGACACGAACAAGACCACGAAAGCAACATATTTATCAATCCTGATGGACCGCCCAAGAGAAAAAGGAGACCAGCTTCGAGTGTTCCCATTGCTTCCACCTCTGTCGAAAGCGACAGCACATGGCCACCCAAGCAGATCAAGGTTTTTCCGAAGAGCCTTTCAGTATCGGAGATGCTAAAGCTTGGAAAGGTTGTTGCGAAAAAAGCCACCACTTTGATCGAGGTGAGGTCCTTTGAATTGGACCCACTCGGATGGTCCTTAACTCCAGCTACTATAGAGTTTAATATAGAGAAGGATGCTTTTGCAAAGGGCGGATTCAGAGAAGCATATAGGTAGGTGCGACTGATTTAAAAAAAAAACATTGTGGCGATGATGGTATTTGTTTGTTTATGTACCGAGCCATCACCCGCCTCGGGCAAACTCTATGTCTACGATGAATTTCGGGTATTTGAGCTTTTAATTAGATTCTTACTTTCTTAAGGGGTAAAGGTGGTTTTTGCGCTGATCACAATGGGTGTGACCCCTTACATAGTTATGGAAACAATACCCCACCCCCTACATATTGCACAGTCAAGTGGTAATCACGTTTTTTAATATGATGATAAAAAATAATGTCAAAAATTGTAAGAGATTTTGTACATTCACATTTCATGAAAATACAGTTCCTTTTTATTTTCTATCTTCCAGCTTTTCCAAATAATGCTTGGGTGGTAAATTTTCATCGTGTCTACCTGCCTCTCCCACCCAGGGCACTTTTAATTGGAAAGCTGTCAAAAATATTTGTGGGGCCTTGAAAATGTGAAATTCAAAGGTGAATTAGACCAGATAAAAGAGTTTGGGTCAAATTTTCTTACAGGGCAACAAGTCATAATGAAGCATTTGCTGGCAAAACATGGGTTGTGAAAAGATACTTACCAGAGGCACTAAAAGCAATACAAGACACAGGTCAGACAGCTGAAGTACATACGAAGAAGGTTGTTCAAATGCATATGCTTGCAAAGAATTTTGCCGATCAGTTGGCTCAGAAAATAAAGAAAGATGATCTTTTAGAGTTTGGCCAAGCACTGCAGTATGGAAAGGTTTACTTTGGGAGAGATCTGGATAAGGGCGACTATGTCACTGTTGAGGAGTACATTGAGGGGAACTTTTTTAAATACATAAACAACACTGGCAAGGTGTGTGACAAAAGTACATTGTCAGAAAAAGCTCAGTGCCTTGCTCACTTTAGTTATGAGAAATCAAACCATAAGTTAATGGTCCTTGATATCCAGGGCACAGGCCACAAGCTGTATGATCCTGAAATAGCCTCCTCAGAATTGGTTGAAAATGATGAATTCCTGTTTTCGACAGGTAACCTTTCTCAAACAGCTATAGATTGTTTTGTTAGCTGTCATCATTGCAATATTTACTGTAAAAGCTTACATTTGCAAGAACTAATTAAGCAGTAGGCAATGTCATAGATTCATTTTGCTGGTTTGACAGTTAATGTTTGAAGTTTTGATAAAACTGATTGTGGTTTAAACTTAAAGTTAAGGTTCCTGGTACAGACTACAGGGTATAATCATGAAATAGTGTACATGTATTTGGAATTGGTTGAAACTGATAAATTCCTGTTTTCCATAGGTAGCTTTTCTCAGACAGCTATTGTGATTGTTGTTTGTTAGCTGTTACAAGTGTAACATTTACTTTACTTTAAGGTTTGCAAGAATTTAAAGTAATAGGCAATGATTCAGTTTACTGGTTTAAAAGTTACTGTTTGAAATTTTGATAAAACAGACTAATGAATGGTATCAGCATTTTCTAGTATTTGTATTCAGTTTTATCTCACAGTTTCTTGCAGAAAAAGTTAACGGTAAATAGTCTTAACAATTTAAAGACTACATTGTTGTACCCAATGTTTGTTACAGTTAATAATGGCAAGGGAGGTATGAATGAGGTCATTTATAAGTTTCAATTTTAACCAGAAAAGTTTTAGCAGCATAGCCGATAATCCACCCCCAGCCTCCTGTCTTCAAAAAAGGTCTTTTTCATTAACTTTTACTTCTAACAATTCCTAACAAAAAGTCACAATACAGTTTGCAACCCCCCCCCCCCCAAAAAAAAAAAAAAAAAAAAAAAAAAAAAAAAAAATTCCTTGCCATGCAGGAGTAGGGGCAATAAAGGTCTTTGTGGCTTTCCTTTGCTATTGTATTTGGGTACTCCCCCTCCCCTTGGTAATAACATAAGTAGTATTTTAGTTTAATACATGGTGTATGGTGTCATAAAATTAATACAGCCCTAAGATAGGGTGTTTAGCTGCTGGTTACTTCTAATTGCATGCAATAAAGAATGTTTGTTGGACTGTCTCTGTCTCGTCAAGTAATTTGACCTACTGCAAACTTAGCCCATTCTCACTTCAAACCCTGTACTGTCCACATGGAACCATTCCCCTTGAACCACTTACAGATGTCCTCAATTTTAAAACCAACTTGAATTCTGCCTTCTGTGCATACCAGAACTTAAGGCACTGCCATTTGGCATCAGACACCAAACCCGGCCACTAGCATAGTGCTTAACTTGTAAATGACAATCTAGACAAATTTGCCTATTTTGGCCAGACAGTAAACTGAAAACAGTTTAACAATAGCTTTCTAAGTTTGGGTATGTACAGAAGGCAAAATATTGTTGTTTCTCCAATTTGTTGCTTCTCTTGCCTTTCTGTCTTTTTTGGGGGGGAAGGGGGGCTGTGCTTTTACTAGGCTTTACTCCTGTTGGAAACGGTTTTACAGAAAGTAACCTGACAATATTTATCAAGAAGTATAGGTGGGTAGTGGGACAAGATAATCCATTCCAATTTGTTTCATACCATGTATGTAACTATGTATGGGCTATTCGACCATATTGCACACATTAAGGCATTATGTCTTCCTCTCAAACACAATTTTGTAAGCATTTATTGGTGCAAGGAACATGGTTTACTTTTTGAAGAAAATTTATTGCATACAACACATATGCAGTGCCTTATTTTGTAACTTTTCCTCCTCAGAATAGCACAGTTAATACAACGGACAGAGATCAGACCATGCAACAAGTACTTACAGTAATATGTTAAAAACAATGGAAAAGTAAAAACAAAAACAAAAAACAAAAGGTGACCATGGTCACTAACATGACTCGATGGTTTAGGACATTTTTCAACTACAGAGCTTTATCAGGGAAAATTTGATAGCTGTTAGTAATTTTGGATATGTGGTTAACAAATTTGTGTGCTTTTGATGAATGGCAGTTATCGGCCACCATACCAGTGTAGTAAGCAATAGGTTTGGTTTCTCAGTTGATTTATATATTAAACTAAAATAATAAATATTATCTTTCTGAGCTAATACTCGTGAACAATTCAAAATGTTGTCACTGAAGGGAAACGTGAACCTTCACTCTTCACAATTCCATGAATTTTTCCTTAAGATGTAGAAATGCATCTTTGCATTCATTTGGTTGAACTTGGTTAGGATATGGAATAATTTCCTCACACTTTGATCTAAATGTAGCATCTAAAAAGTCATCTTCAACTGACAGAACACCAGAATGAAGTGCGGCCTCTTTCAGTTCATCTTCTGTTACAAGCCAACTTGTAAAAAATGGCATTTTTAACAACACTCGGTTACAACGAGGAAACAGGAAACCACAAAATGTAAACAGAAAACAACCAAGGGCTAAATGACAGAAAAGATGGCACATTAAAACTTTTCTTAACTAAAATATTGGCCAATAAAGATTCAATCTTCAATTTTCTTTGCCTGCCACATCCAATGGTCAGTAACAGTAGTAGTTTTAAGGGCATATGGTCCTTACATTTATCAACTGGTTTGTGTTTGTACTAACTACTGTAAACGGCCACTTATAAGGCATCCCCCCACATCCCCCTTCCTCACTTATAAGCCCTCTAGGCTACCAGTAAACAAAAAATACATCTGATTGTAAGCCCCTTCCCTTCATCTGGATATAAGCCCGTCCAAATCCCCGAAGTTGTGAAAGACCAGGGCTTTTTAGCTGTTGTTTACAGTGTTACAAGGATGTCTATTTTTAAAGTGAAAATATGCACAGTCATACCACACTCTTCTAGGCCGTATGTTTCAGGAAAGTTATAAATGTGATCAGGGATTCCATCTGGCAAAGCTGTATCTTTCTGTGTTCTTATTTTGTGACTGTTCCATACAACTGTCCTAAACAGATCTAGTTCTTTCTGCACTACTGGTATGAGAAGAATAGCCAAGAGCATCCTAACAGGAAAAATTAACACAGATTTATTTCATCAAAGGTTTTATACTGTATAGATACGTTTATTCTGACAAATATTTATTCTCAATAATTATCCTTGACACATTTTGAATTTGCCTAAAAAGTTTGTGACTTTAATTTTAGACCATGAGTAGATTTCCCTTGGGGAGGGGGACTCCCATGAGTGCTAGACTCAAGCTTTACTTGATCCCTTAAATACATTAAAAATAAAGCACAGTACCAAATAAGAGCTATATATAATTATTAAAAACTGAATCATTGGATAATGCAATTCTAGCATTTTGATTGGCTTAGCCGTTATGGTATATGAGCTAATATACCATGTTCTCCATATATGGTCGGTGTACGCGTCAGTTTAAAATTGGAAGCTAGGTGAGACTTTTTTTCGCGAAGGATAGAACGGCGCCCGAAGCAAATCGTTTTAATTCATTTCTTAGAATACTAGAAATGCAATTTCAACGAAAGAAAAAAGACAAAAACAAACAAAAAAACCACAAGAGCTTGTTTGAAAGTTTGTGGAAAAACACATGAAAACACATGGAACTAAAGTACCTTGAACAGCTACGAAAGAAGACAAGTGTTGTTTCTTCATGATCGCGAAGCCATTCGCCGATAGATAACTGCAGCTTGTTTATCCGACATCAAGAATATAAATCACAAGTAACGAGCTACAGATACAGGCTATGCAGCCATTCACTAGAGCAATCAAGGCGACAGTATAGCTTCTTTTTTCGTTCAGCAAAACCAGCTTGTGGCTTCAAACAACTTCATAACAAGCGACCGAGGTAATACCGGTAGTTTTTCTCCGTTGTTCTTCCTTTTATAACTGCACCGAAAATCCAAATTCATAGTAATTTCGACGGCTGTCACTTAAAAATTCCTTTCCTTCACATTATCTGCCAGGTTTTTTAAGCTGTTCTGCTTTGTAAAATCCTAGAATCGCGATGAATTTTTAAAAAACTAATGTTCATCGCTACAATGTTTTGATTTTTCATTCATGCAGTCTAGGCGAGTCCGTTCGCGCGTTGACAGTTTTGATAGACGTGTGACATGTGAATAGCGGAATTCCCTTGTCTTTTCCGGTTTGTTCTAGTCGGGGCGATTCAACGAGATTTTGTGGGCGTTTTTAATAAAACAATTATTCCACTCGGGCTTGATGGATATGACTGATTATAGCCAACTCGGCGCTATGCGCCTCGTTGGCTATCTATCATCTCATATCCAACGTGCCCTCGTGGAATAATTGTTAAATAGTAATCACTTTTAATAATGTGTGATAAAGGCATTGTCATAAAATTGGCTTTTTCTTTCCTTTTTTAGTCCTCTGGTTTCTTTATTACACACCATAAAGTAACATCCGACCAGGTGAAATAGGCATTCCATCATGAATACTCTAGACAGCTTTAAGTGTCACCAAAATATGCAATCTGCAACCCCAAACAAAATAACAAGCATCCCTGCCCCTTCATAATGGGATTTTCCCCCACCCCTCCACATAGCATGCGAGCAAGCTCTCTGGGAAAAGGAAGGAGAGCTTGCAACTACATCGGTGGAATTTGAATATCTGCATTGAAAAAGTCGATGCGAAATGCTGGTTGGTGGAAATGACATTATGAAAGACGTCATTACCCTTGGCACGTGTTTCTTAGTATTTGTTTACATTTGCGCTCGTTTCCACATAGTGCTGATTTGCGGAAATATGACAGCTAAGTCGACAGGGAGCCACAAGCGAATTGGAGGTGGAATTCAAATTCCAGAGACGTAGTTGCAAGCTCTCCTTCCTTTTCCAGCCCCGCTGCTAGAGGGCCGGTTGAGCTTGCTCTCAGGCTACCTTCCCAGGATCAAGTCAACCTTTTCCTTGCTTTTAAAAAATAGACAAATAAAGCAAGCAGAAATTGTGTTCACTCTAACCCCATGTCTTCATCAGGTCTATTCTATAATTATTATTTGTACCTGTCTCTCTCACTATGTGGATTATAATGACCTCGGTCCTTTAACCAGTTGAGTTGCTCCTTGAAATATTTTTCCATTCTCTCGTGGAGTTCCCTCCACCATCTCTCGATCTTTAAAAAAAATTATCAAAAATGGTCAATTATGCACTATAATGCAAAGAAAAACATAGAAAAAGCAACCTAATATGACAACTCCAGTTGCATTCACACTTCTTTTTAACCGATACATAAAAAAAGTACACAAACAAATAAGTGCTTACTTGATTTGATGTCGATGGCCCGTAAATGATCGATTCACATGGGTCATCCATATCATCGTGGTTTCTTCGCAAGAAGGCATGTATCGTTGCCATCGTGCCGGTCTCTGTTCCTCTGTCCAGCCTTATCAATGAAGGCATAATTCTAGCCTCATATAAATACTCCAAGTACCAACGGCCAATTACCTTGGGGTCGCTGTTAGTGACCCAGATCCGCAGCCATAACAGCTTTCTACTAGCAGTATCGATGCAGCCATATACTGCTAATGGGAAAGTGCTGTTTTGGTAGCCCATCAGTTTATCATGGCCATCTAGTGAATGGACCCAGTTAGGGCCTTTTGTTGTAAAACTTCCCTTGGGGATTGTTTTCTTTTTGCCAACTGGTCCACGGGCTTCCAGACCCTTCGGGTCGAGGTCATACATTGCCGCATAAACTAAATCTCGTGGAACACTGAGATCATGAACCTGTCGGACTTTTCGGTGCATTGCTCTGTATCCTAACAGTTTTCCTGGTCCGTCAAGCTCCTTTTTTACAACATCTTTAACTTCCTCCACCGACACATTTTTGTCATTGTAATGTATGTCAAAGTGACGAAGGCGTCTGTCGACAGTGCGAAGGCTCCATGCATATTGGGCAAAATCCCTTTTCAAAAAATCTAACATTTCTCTCCGTTGAAAACCTTGTTTGACATATTTAGCCATTTCTTCTTTGAGAACGATGTCTTCTTTCCAACCATCATTTCGAAAATATGCCGCCATAATGCCCGTCACTGCGTTCCAGTCCCTCCCCAATTTTGAATGGCAGTTCCCGGCCGTGAACAAATTTATTTTACTTTTTCTGTTTTGAATGGCAGTTTCCGGCTGTGAACAAATTAATTTTGCTTTTTTTGTTTTGAATGGCAGTTCCCGGCCGTGAACAAATTATTTTTACTTTTGCTTTTATTCACTTTTATTTTTATTTTCATTTCATAGTAAAAATATTTTGTTTTGTTTTGAAAATAATAATAAAAAAGAATCTATTTCCAGTTCAATAAAAAACAAAATGTTTTTACATGGTACTTTCACTTTATTTCCAATACAAAATAATTAAAGTTCGATCTAAAATTAACAAATTTATATGCTTTTGACGAATGGCAGTTATCGGCCACCATACCCCTCTTTCACCGGCGAAAAATGTCTACGCATGCTCTGGAAAAAATGACACGAGATATATTTCGGGCAATGTCATTGGCTCCGAGGCAAAAATACCCGCGAAATGTTGTTGAGATGAAAGACGCGATGGCAGCTTTTTTTGGCAGTGACAGCGTTGCAATTTCTTGCCACTGTAAGAGACCAAAAAATATTTTGGTCGAAGCTTTGACGGAAGTGTGTTCTCTAGAGAATATAGCGTCCTGGAACTGGCGAAAAATCGCAGTGGCATGGTATGATTCAGTGTTGTTGACGTTGAAATCGCTGGTTTGCATCTAGAAGACATGCCGAAAAGGTGGGTAATTTTTACTCTCTTTGTTTACTGCATGTTCCGTGCAACTCGGTACAAAAAGAAATTATAAAGTAGTGGAAGAAAAATTATTGGGCTTTGTTTTGGTAAATAAATTAGCTTGTACCGAGTTGCACGGAAGCGACAGTTTTGTTAAATGTGTATCCCGTTTTTGTGTCAAAATTCGACTTTGTGAATCTAACATTCGACAACATTCGACTGATGATCGAAGAGCGTATTACAACACTATCCAAAATGTTTTTGTTGTTTAGTTCAGGTTTGTTATCACGGATTCAACCACAAAAAAAAATTGAGGGACAGACATTTTTGGGCTTTGTTTTGTTAATATGACTTAGCTTGTACTTTGTTGCTGGGAAAACTATTGCTGGTTTTCAGTGTCACGCCATTCAAAATAGATCAAAATCAAAATCAAAACCATTCGACAGATAAAGTCCAGAATATGAGAAATGAAAGGAGGTAAATATACAAAGACCCTCGCCAAGTTTTGGACCGAAGGAATGATTCGTATACGAGATATCCGAGGAAATGTTTTACCCAAATTTATAGAGCTTTGTAAGGAGACGCCATGCTGGAGCTCATCTGGATGAGCTCCAACATGGCGGACGGAAGCCAACAGAAACATCTGTTACCGAGTTTTGCTACAAAAGCGTGAATTTACTCCGGGAGGAACTCATAAACATTAAAGTAATAATTTTTCTAATACTAATGAACTGTTTAGATAGCAAAATTCCTCGAAAAAAGTCACTTTTTTTAACCTAAATGACAGCTCTCTCGGCCGTCATGTAAATGCTGCGTGACGCAAAACCAAGAACCCTTTTCGAAGCGAAAATTTGTTTGAAAATTAGTTTACCAGCTGCTCTAATACATCATGAAAGTAAAATCTCAGTAGGATCGATAGTTTTGTAGTTTGAATTTTAGTGACGTCATGTGAAATAACAATATTTAGATGCTAAATCTCCGTGTGTTTTCACCGTTTATGGCAGAAAAATAAGCTTACGCTTGGTTCAACTTAATCTCGGGTCACTCGGTACAAAAGGAAATTATAAAGATGGTAAAGAAATATCCTTAGCCATTGTATTGCTGTGTAAATTGTCTTGTGGCTAGTGGATCGAAAGCGGCTGGGTTGCGGCAGGTTTCTAAAGTGCGTTGTTCGAAACGTGATGTTTTCCATTGATGCACATTTCATTGTTGTTGCACATTATTACAGCTTTGTATGTTACAGAAATTTGAGTTTTATCCGAACTGTCGAATGAGAAAATGTGAGAGTGTTTTCATTAAAGCGCTTAGACCGTCCTGGAGCTACATTTCAATGAGTCCAGCAACATTTTGATTTTTTAAAAAAATTTTGTTTACAATGTGCACAGCTGTTGTACATTTAGGCTTACAATTTTATTGAATGATCGAAGTTTTGATTATTTTGCTCCTAAATTTGGCTTGGGATTATCCACACAACGAGTTACTTGTAACTTTCCTCGTTAGGAACCGCACTTACGAACATTTTTTCCCCCGTGTACAATTTTTTAGTACTAGAGTTTTGCACACAAGGCTTTCTGTTGGGGGTGCTTCTTTGCTTGAAAGCTGGATCCTGGAAGGAGATGAACAGGGTAATTTTCCTGTGAATGCTTTTGTTTTTCTGTCCATCGTTTTTGGCTTAATTTTTCTGGAGCAAAGTATGAGTGAATGATAGAGTTAACATGCTATTAAGTATTCAAAAGTTCTTTCCAAGAAAAAAAATAATTATCACAAATTAAACTTACAGGAGTTTAAAGTTTGGAGTAAACTTTGAGTCTTAATGAAATTTTAGTTGGATCATGTTGATGAATGCAGTTGTGTAGGATATACAGTTTCCAATTTTGATCTTCTGTCAGAATTATGAGAGAACACTCAAATACAAATCTCATTCCAACTTTATAGTTTCATTGTAATTATCGTTTGTTTCTATTCCTATAAACTTATCATCAGGTCTACATTTTGCATGAATTTAATGTGATATATATTTGAAGGGGTTTTTGTTTCACAGTGAAGTAGTTTTCACTTTGTTTTTTTGATATGAAGTTCAATTTCTTCTTGTTTGTTGGCTAAGGCAGTGTCGAAGTTTCTGACATGTTAACATACCGTATTGTTTATTTCTCTTCAGAAAAGATTGATTGATCCTGAATCAAACAAAGTGCAGCCTCACAAACAAGATTTTTGACGAACAAATGTGTACTCTACTGAGGAAAGCATATGTCCCTGACAGTGTCAATAAAACTTATTAATGGAAAGATCTGGGCTTTTACTCCTTTGTAGCTTTTTTGACTACGCATCACTTTTCTAACCTATATACTAAAAAGATACAATCAGTATTTTTTCCTGCAGCTAACATATTTGCAATCAAAGTTCTCTTCCTTTATGTATAGTATTCCCCTAATTTTAACAATTTCATTATCTTATTCAGATCAAGCACAGTAACCATTAAAAGTAAAAAAGAAAAAAAAACCCTGCTCGGTCATAGACGGCTTTAAAGTTTTGATATTAAAATTGTACCCGTTCACAATGAAAAGAACATGAATGCAGACACTAAAGTTCATTTAGCTCATATTCAAGTGAGTAAGTAACTTCCAGGTCTCGGAGCAATTTCAAAGGACCCATAGTCTCGCTGTGAACAAAGGCCATTCTTTCTAGTGACCCGGCTTTTTTCAGAAATATTGGTGTCCTTCGTGATCGTGAAGAGTGATCGCTTAAACAAGTCCAAAGTTGAATCTGGTAAAACGGCCAAAACGCGAGCATCGCAGGGGAACGAATCCCATAGGAACAGGTGAGAAAGGATAATAAAAAGTCTAGGCCATGCTAAAACAAAATCCGTATATGCATTTGCATCTCATATTCAGGCGCAATTAATCTTCTTTCCACTGGAATGAACAAACGATGGAGGAGGTATTGCCGCCATTGTGAATTTGGCAATGTCACGTGGTTGCGCGTCGACGAATCAGACATTTTTCGGCGGTGAAGTACCCTTCTCGCCTCATTCTTCCGGGCTTGCCCTGTTCTTCCTTCATTTAAAAAGGTTATGCTTCACTGTGACACTTGTTTTGTTTATAGCATAGTGGTCAGAAAAGATATAAATCATTCCGCAATTAAATTGTTTTATTGTTTGTTATCAGGCAGTGTTCTATAACGAATTAATTTTCAGTACTATTCTATACCATATCTATACATAAATGAAAAGAAAAATAATCATAAACAAAGGAGATCTCGATTTAATTCAAAAAGGCTTGATCCCATACAAAAAATAGCCAGGGAAGGTTATTTATGCAGTTCGCCGGCAAAGTCGACCCTTAGAACCCTTTGTCCCTAGACAGACCGCGTGTTTGGCTTTAGTTTCCAATTAACCTATTTTAGATATGGCAACAAATATCCTTACTCTATTACTCTACCAGAAACTCATTTTTCATACCCCTGATTAATATCTGAGAAATTTCGAAAGCCTGTGATTTCTACCCATCGTAATTTCTTAACTATCTATTTGAAGTCTTCGCTTTTACAGCGGCAGTTGTGTAATAGCCTTTAATCAGTGAATTAAAAGTGGACAGTTAAAGCTATAGCTTGCTAATCAAGTAACAAATCACTTTTTTTTTTCGTTTGGTTTTTCCTTATTTAATTTAACTGGTATTAACAATCATCCCCTGACTACGGTTACTATGTTCCACATGGGCGGTGTAATGGACAGTAAACGCTTGCAGCAACTGAAGTACAATCCAAATACCAAGCATAGGTGCAACCTCCGCTACGGTTGTCGGTGTTATCATGGAAAGGCATAGTCCATGAGGGATTCGCGCCTACAGCAGCCCAACCGCTGCAGCTTTCACGGATCCCCTGACACTGAGGGCCGCCCTGAGTTTCCTTAAAACACACGCGGCACACTGGGGAGCGCAACGCATAGGATTTGTATTTTGACTGGATCGCCCATGAATAACTGCAGCCACCAGGGTTTTCATTGGTATTATCATCGAAAGGGCTAGTCCAGTCCGGTTTGCCGCTCCAACCAGTGCACGCGTCAATAGGAGGTAGGGATCCTTTGCACTGAGTGCTAGGGCCTGCCCTTTCCCAGAAGCAGAGGCGAAACTCAGTAGAGGCTGGAATTTCGTCCCCCGCTTCGATTCTCCATTGGTATGTGTGGCCCTTTGTACTTTTACCACCTGTATCATCTAGAAACGGTGGAGACCATTCCAGTTCATTGAATTTTCGGCGGCTATAACCACTGCAAGCGGATGATATTCCC